TCCCCTCCGCCCCTTTGCCCCCCTTCCCTCGCCTCACCTCAGCCCCTTTGCACCCCTCCCCTCGCCTCGCCTCACCTCAGCCCCTTTGCACCCCTTCCCTCGCCTCACCTCAGCCCCTTTGCACCCCTCCCCTCGCCTCGCCTCACCTCAGCCCCTTTGCACCCCTCCCCTCGCCTCGCCTCACCTCAGCCCCTTTGCACCCCTCCCCTCGCCTCGCCTCACCTCAGCCCCTTTGCACCCCTCCCCTCGCCTCGCCTCACCTCAGCCCCTTTGCACCCCTCCCCTCGCCTCGCCTCACCTCAGCCCCTTTGCACCCCTCCCCTCGCCTCGCCTCACCTCAGCCCCTTTGCACCCCTCCCCTCGCCTCGCCTCACCTCAGCCCCTTTGCACCCCTCCCCTCGCCTCGCCTCACCTCAGCCCCTTTGCACCCCTCCCCTCGCCTCGCCTCACCTCAGCCCCTTTGCACCCCTCCCCTCGCCTCGCCTCACCTCAGCCCCTTTGCACCCCTCCCCTCGCCTCGCCTCACCTCAGCCCCTTTGCACCCCTTCCCTCGCTTCGCCTCACCTCAGCCCCTTCATGCCCCTTCCATCGCTTCGCCTCACCTCAGCCCCTTCATGCCCCTTCCCTCGCCTCAGCCCCTTCCCGCCGCTCTCCTCCCCCGTGGGGCTGGTGGCAGCGGTGGTGGCTGTAAGGGGACTCCCTCTCCCCCCGCCACCTGCCCAAAAAAAGGCGGCGGGGACGTGGCCGTAGAGCTTCAGCACCTCAGCCCCCCTCAGGTGGTTGTCTCCGAGGGGGTACTGCTGGTTCGGAGGGAGGCGGGCGGCCCCCCCCACCTCCTCCCCTCTCCGCGCTCCCCCGCCGGGCGGTTGCCGTCCCGGGGCCTGCCCCTCCCGGCCCGGCGGGCAGCGCCGGCAGGGTTAACCCTGAGGAATGCGGCGGGAGGAATGTGCATGCAGATGAGATGGATGCTAATCTCATGCTAATGAGCGGCGGCCGCGGCCGCCCGGGGCTCAGCCGGGCTCCCCGCGCCCAGACGGCAGCTGGCCTCCGCCGGCAACCCTGACCCGGGCTGCCGCGGCGCGGGCGAGGCGGCAGCCCCGGCATGGTGGACTGAGCCCCCGGCGGCGGAGGAGTGCTTCCCCTGAGCGGCCCGCTGCCTGCCTTCCCCCCCACCCTGCCGCCGGCCCCTTTCCCCGTCCCGGGTGAGGGCTTTTCCCGCTTCCCGGCTTTCTTTCTGTCCCTATGGAGCAGCTACCCGCCTCGCCCGACCATGCCTAGGAAAGCGGGGAATGGGCAGCTCCCTTTACCCGACGGCTGGGAGGAGGCGAGGGATTACGACGGGAAAATCTTCTACATCGACCACAACACGAAACAGACCAGCTGGATCGACCCCCGGGACAGGTGGGTGCGCGGGCAGGGGGTCGGCGTGGCTTAATTGAAGAGTTGGGGGGAGGAGGAAATCGCTGGTGTTTGGGAAGTTCCCGACAGGTACCGAAGTTTGCGAGTCCCTCCCAAACCGGAGGCGCCATCGAGCGGGGCCGCCTCCCTCTCTCCCTCCCTCCCTCTCTCTCTCCCTCCCGCTTGGCGGAGCCTCCGGGACGCCAGTCCCTCCCGTGGGCCTCCCCCCGGGGACCGGCAGCCCCCCTGGGGACCTCCTGCCCCCGCGGCCCGGCCCGGCCCGGCCCGGCCAGCTGTGGCGGGGCAGCGGGAGGCCTGGTGCGCTCCGCTAGGCCTCAGCGAGCCCCGGTCCTCTCAGCATTACCCCCCCTTCCCCCCGCCATCCCGGGGTTGTTTTGCTGCCCGTTCCAGCACTTCAGAGCTGTAAAAATCGGCAAAAAACTTCTCAGGAAGAGTTTGGGCAAGGGAGGTGACCCGCCTGCTCAAAGGCTTCTCGCCCAGGAGTCCAGTCTTCCAGCTGGGGAGGGATTCTGGCTCTTTGGGGAGGTTTCAATGGCTGTTTTTGATAGCTGGGTGAGAGACGCCCAAGATACCTATTGTAGAACGTGTGTGTTGTCCCAAATAGTCCTGAAAAGTAATGAAACCCCCAAACTTCGTGCGTGTTATGAAATACAGTGTTGCTACGGACAACAGTGCCATCTGATTATCAAAAACTTTTAATAGGCATTAAAAATGTATGGAACAAGCTGCACTGAATTAAAAATGAAGGCCTCGGTTTGTGTTTCCCTGGTGAAATCGGAAAAAGGTAGCCGTGGCGAAGCTTGCTGGCTGTAAGTTGCGTGGGGAAAGTTGTGACAAGCATCATATGTTGCGTTAGGGCCTCCTTCTCTCTCCTGCTTGCTGTAACAGCAAATTCCAGCAGTGACACACTTAAAACTTAAATTCCTTTGTACTTCAAAACATGTAAAGTGCCTTGTCAATATCAGTGAGGTGGGAAGGCATACAGGACAGTGGTATTTATTACACCTGGCCTTCTCAGGTGATTGAGTTTTGGGTTTGTTTTTTTTTTTACCTCAGACAATAAAAGCTGGTTTTACTGTCTCTAAAAATTTGAAGCTATGTTTAGTTTCAGACTTTTAATTTGTTTTTGCAAAGCAGAATACAAGGTGCCATGATTGAGATAAAGCAAAATGTGTCATTGGAGTGTACTCATTATAATACCACCTTTTGAGTATGCTCATTTAAAATTTATTTTTTTTTTTACACATTCTGTAGTCCTGAAAAGTTCAGGAGTATTCATATTTGGTGGCAAAAGCTGAGTCTTCATTCTCATTAACAGAATGGACAGTGAAGTGAGTAACACTTTTGTACTTGTCATCCTGTAGAGAGAGGATAAATATTATTTCATTAATATTTTGATAACAGGTGGAAGAGAAATCAAGCCCTGAGACTTCATAATCTGTAGTGAGAACTAAGGAAGTAAAGACCTTTTTCAGATAGAGTGATATTTGAAATAATTGTTAACCTATGTCAGTCATGCAAAACAGAGAGAGGGATTTTGCCCTAAGTGCTTGAGAGAATCTGAGTTTTAGTGTACATGGCTGAACTGTGAATCTGAATTGCCTGCGCAGACAAGAGACTGACAAGCCCATTTAATGTGCAGCTTATGGTATTTGTGTTTACAATATCCATATTTACAAGCTGTATTTATATTGGTGACCTGATTTGGAAAAGTAAATAAGAAATGCATCAAAGTCCTGTGATGACTTTGCTCTAGGTTCCATTGTATCTTCCACATATTTAGAGAATAGATGTTTGGAAACCATGGAGGACATAATTAGGGCTTGCTGTCAGAAAAACTGAAAAGTGATCTTCCAAGTTTGTCAATAAAATAACATCTGGATTCATGCCGTTTCTAAAACTTCTCTTAAATTGTCAAAATGAAGAGAATAGGTTCTACAGAAAGACTGAAAACACATTCCCTTGTTTGATGGTACTTTAGGACTTCTTTTTTTTCCCAACTGTTTTTCTCTGATGGAGGTCATAAAGTTTTCATAATGTACTTGTAGTTTATTACTGTACATGGGCTCCTAAAATCTTTCATTGGTAAAGCAAGTGCAGAACAGATAAGTTTTTCTGGACAATATTCCTTTTGCTGTTGTTACACTGCATTCCCTGGATGATTGCATAGAAAAGTAACACTTGATGTTTTAAAATAATTTTTATCCTCTTTGATTTAGAAGATACAAATACTGAAGAGCAGTGCTGTGAGACATCAGCCATATGTCTGTGGGTTGCCAGGTGTATTTGAGCACAATTAGGAACCTCTTTGTTACTGGTTTAAAATATTTATGTCTAGAAATAAGCTGTTGAAAATACTGTATTTCAGAGCTTCTAGGAAAACTTGTGGTGGTGTTTGTTTGGTTTTGGTTGTTGTTTTTTTTTAAATACAGTGATGCTTTATCTCGTGCTTTTCTAGACTGTTCTGACAGTACATGTATTTGTTGCTGCTTATATAGTGCAGGTCTCTTAATATAATGATAGCCTCATGTACAGCTGTGAAAAAAAAAACCCCACAAACCTCATCTTTTTTTTCCCAACTGTTTTTCTCTGATGGAGGTAATAAAGTTTTCATAATGTACTTGTAGTTTATTATTGTACATGGGCTCCTAAAATCTTTCATTGGTAAAGCAAGTGCAGAACAGATAAGTTTTTCTGGACAATATTCCTTTTGCTGTTGTTACACTGCATTCCCTGGATGATTGCATAGAAAAGTAACACTTGATGTTTTAAAATAATTTTTATCCTCTTTGATTTAGAAGATACAAATACTGAAGAACAGTGCTGTGAGACATGAGCCATATGTCTGTGGGTTGCCAGGTGTATTTGAGCACAATTAGGAACCTCTTTGTTACTGGTTTAAAATATTTATGTCTAGAAATAAGCTGTTGAAAATACTGTATTTCAGAGCTTCTAGGAAAACTTGTGGTGGTGTTTGTTTGGTTTTGGTTGTTGTTTTTTTTTAAATACAGTGATGCTTTATCTCGTGCTTTTCTAGACTGTTCTGACAGTACATGTGTGTGTTGCTGCTTATATAGTGCAGGTCTGTTAATATAATGATAGCTTCATGTACAGCTGTGAAAAAAACACAAACCTCATATCAGCTTCAAGCTTGGAGCTCAGTTTTCAATTTTGCCCACTTCATTTATCTGAGTAATCCCAGTGACATGGGAGAATCTCACATTTGTAAGGGCAGGAGTGACTTGGCTTGTTGTGGTTTAGGAGTGTTTAATGAAACCCCCAAACTTCGTGCGTGTTATGAAATACAGTGTTGCTACGGACAACAGTGCCATCTGATTATCAAAAACTTTTAATAGGCATTAAAAATGTATGGAACAAGCTGCACTGAATTAAAAATGAAGGCCTCGGTTTGTGTTTCCCTGGTGAAATCGGAAAAAGGTAGCCGTGGCGAAGCTTGCTGGCTGTAAGTTGCGTGGGGAAAGTTGTGACAAGCATCATATGTTGCGTTAGGGCCTCCTTCTCTCTCCTGCTTGCTGTAACAGCAAATTCCAGCAGTGACACACTTAAAACTTAAATTCCTTTGTACTTCAAAACATGTAAAGTGCCTTGTCAATATCAGTGAGGTGGGAAGGCATACAGGACAGTGGTATTTATTACACCTGGCCTTCTCAGGTGATTGAGTTTTGGGTTTGTTTTTTTTTTTACCTCAGACAATAAAAGCTGGTTTTACTGTCTCTAAAAATTTGAAGCTATGTTTAGTTTCAGACTTTTAATTTGTTTTTGCAAAGCAGAATACAAGGTGCCATGATTGAGATAAAGCAAAATGTGTCATTGGAGTGTACTCATTATAATACCACCTTTTGAGTATGCTCATTTAAAATTTATTTTTTTTTTTACACATTCTGTAGTCCTGAAAAGTTCAGGAGTATTCATATTTGGTGGCAAAAGCTGAGTCTTCATTCTCATTAACAGAATGGACAGTGAAGTGAGTAACACTTTTGTACTTGTCATCCTGTAGAGAGAGGATAAATATTATTTCATTAATATTTTGATAACAGGTGGAAGAGAAATCAAGCCCTGAGACTTGATAATCTGTAGTGAGAACTAAGGAAGTAAAGACCTTTTTCAGATAGAGTGATGTTTGAAATAATTGTTAACCTATGTCAGTCATGCAAAACAGAGAGAGGGATTTTGCCCTAAGTGCTTGAGAGAATCTGAGTTTTAGTGTACATGGCTGAACTGTGAATCTGAATTGCCTGCGCAGACAAGAGACTGACAAGCCCATTTAATGTGCAGCTTATGGTATTTGTGTTTACAATATCCATATTTACAAGCTGTATTTATATTGGTGACCTGATTTGGAAAAGTAAATAAGAAATGCATCAAAGTCCTGTGATGACTTTGCTCTAGGTTCCATTGTATCTTCCACATATTTAGAGAATAGATGTTTGGAAACCATGGAGGACATAATTAGGGCTTGCTGTCAGAAAAACTGAAAAGTGATCTTCCAAGTTTGTCAATAAAATAACATCTGGATTCATGCCGTTTCTAAAACTTCTCTTAAATTGTCAAAATGAAGAGAATAGGTTCTACAGAAAGACTGAAAACACATTCCCTTGTTTGATGGTACTTTAGGACTTCTTTTTTTTCCCAACTGTTTTTCTCTGATGGAGGTAATAAAGTTTTCATAATGTACTTGTAGTTTATTATTGTACATGGGCTCCTAAAATCTTTCATTGGTAAAGCAAGTGCAGAACAGATAAGTTTTTCTGGACAATATTCCTTTTGCTGTTGTTACACTGCATTCCCTGGATGATTGCATAGAAAAGTAACACTTGATGTTTTAAAATAATTTTTATCCTCTTTGATTTAGAAGATACAAATACTGAAGAACAGTGCTGTGAGACATGAGCCATATGTCTGTGGGTTGCCAGGTGTATTTGAGCACAATTAGGAACCTCTTTGTTACTGGTTTAAAATAT